AGATCTATATTTTTTATAGCAGCCTAGCACTTTATTCTTTGTACTTAAAGTACTCAAATGAAAATATCAATCTATACGGTAATAGAGACCAGGCCTTCTGAATAAATCACTGAGATTTATAGAAAAAAACTTTTTTTATTTTGTGAATAAAAGAGTCTTCAGAACTCAACGTGATTTAAAAGCAAATCACGTTGAGTTCTGAAGACTCTTTTATACCTCGAACTTAATTGATCCGATTACTACAGGGATGAACCCAATCCAGAATATGAACCATAAAAGAAAATACCTATTAAACCTATTACAACAATACCTGTTAGAGTACCTATTATCCAAAGAGGAATCCTTCCAGTAGTATGGGTCATTGATCCCACTTACCCCTCACACTTCATAACGTGGTCATGCTAGAGACATAAACAGTCATGGATAATTATAATATGAGATCCTTCGATTGGGCTAAGAGAATGCCTATCGCTTTGAGGTATTCTCTTTTATTAATCCTAATTGAAGAAATAATTTGAAAATAAAAACAGCAAGTACAAAAATAAGTAATAATCCCCAGTACAGACTGGTACGATTTAATTCAACGTTTTTGCTCGTTTGGATTTGATTGTGTCATAGCTCTATAATTCGGAGTAATTTGATCATTCAATTTATCGTTGAATAAACTGCATTGCGGAAATTGAGCCCAAAAAAAAAGACAGTAGGTACAGCGAGGCCATGAACAGCTAACCATCGTACTGTAAAAATTGGATAGGTTCGATCTATAGTCATTGGGACCTCCTACGAAAACGATCTAGGAAATTAATAGAGTTGTTCCAAAGGATCAAAACGGCCAGTTATTAATGGAATTCCTTGCCGGTTCTCTGTAAAGTACTCGTTTGGCCGTGGACTTCCAAACACATCGTAAGCTAAACCGGTGCTGACGAATAACCAGCCCGCAATGAATAGAGAGGGTATAGTAATGCTATGAATGACCCAATATCGAATACTAGTAATAATATCAGCAAAGGAGCGTTCTCCTGTGTTTCCAGACATATTGAACTCCGCATATTCTTGTACATTTTAAAAGTGCCGATTCCTTAATAGCATCTTTTTTATTTTTTATATTATCAATATTGTACCGAGGGCGTCTTTTCTTGAGAGTATACCCAATCAGTATAGCATCCTGCTTCTGACGCAGCAACGCATTTTAAATTGAAAGTAAGTGCTCAATTTTTTATTTATTTATTGACTCTTTCACTATTAACGTAAAATAAGGTTCTATTCAATTTTATTGAATAGAATTCAATAGAAAAGAAAAGCCCTTGACTCAATGAAATGAAATAGAGGCGCGATTTATCAAAAAACCTGCCTTTTTTCGTTGGTTGGAGAAGCGGTTGTTTTTATGTAATCTTAATATACCCCTTCCTTTTTCCTATGGATTTTCAAATATTTGAACATGAAATAATTCTTTGGTCCAGTAACCAAAGCTTAAAATTTAGATCCTTTTTTCTCTAAAAAAATAGACTTCGGTAAATGCTTTATAAACATATGTCCCATTTATAAACACAAGATATTAAAAGTAGCCTCTATCATGCTTACTATAACTAGTTATTTTGGTTTTCTCGTGGCAGCTTTCACTCTAACCTCAGCTCTTTTTATTGGTTTGAGCAAGATACGAATTATTTAAAATTGAAATTAAAGAATATCTTCATTAATATAAAATCTGTTAGGGGCTTCTTTTTCTGTTTAGTCTAGAGTTACTTTCAGTTACTTGTTGCACTAATTATAAATTGCTTTTAATAAAATAAAATAATAAAATATTGGTTATTTAGATTCATGTAAATTTCTATGAATATTTTGATATAGATATCACTTTTTTTTTTATTTAACACAAATAATGGAATAATGGAAGTTTTTATATTGGGAATCCTATTAGGTATAATTCCTATTACTTTGGCAGGTTTATTAATAACTGCATATTTACAATACAGGCGTGGGGATAAGTTAGAACTTTAATTCATAATTAATGAATAGATCGTTTTTTTTATCTCTTCCCCCTTTCATCCCCAAGGATGAAATTTTGGATTGCTGTTCACATGACGGAATCTAGTGAAGTATTATTTATTAATTAATAATAATTAAGTCGAGAATAAAAAACACGCTCTGTAGGATTTGAACCTACGACATTGGGTTTTGGAGACCCACATTCTACCAAACTGAACTAAGAGCGCTTTTTTATCAGAATATAGAGTTTTTTCGTAAGTAGAATTCCAAAGATTTTTTAGACTTGTATTAGAAACTAGTATTACTAATATTCTAATACTACTCCAACCCTAGAGTATGCCTCCTTTGAAGCGATTTCGCTAGATGATCTCTTACTCTTCAAAGGAGAGCGTTTATTAAGTAGGGATGACAGGATTTGAACCCGTGACATTTTGTACCCAAAACAAACGCGCTACCAAGCTGCGCTACATCCCTTCAAATGTTATCCAATATATGAGAATAGGGCATAATTGATTATAAAAATAAGTCGCATAATTTCATTTTTTCATTAGTTGTATAATCTTTATATATCTGTTATCTATTATAGTTTTCGATCTTTCTATATCCTTCTTTATTTATAATTTATACAAAAAAAAATAAAAGGTGGGGCCTTTACCTACATCTAGATCTGATAATATATGTACTATAACTATTGAGTAAAAATCAATTTTAAAAGGAAAGGAGGTTTTTTGATGCGATATTTTAAAACATATCTCTCTGCGGCACCAGTAATAATTACGCTCTCATTAGGAGCTTTAGCAGGTCTATTGATAGAAATAAATCGGTTTTTCCCGGATGTGTTTGACATTCCCCTTTTTTAATTCTAGTTATTTAATTGACTTTATAGAGCAAGGCATGAAGAAGACTAGAAGTACCATCAAACATACTTAAATATAGAAGGACCACTTCAGTATACGTAAAAATTCCCTCCTTCACTTTTCTTTGATTAACGGAGGAAAGATAAACGAAAGGAAAGATAAATAAAAAAGAGGGATTCAAGGTTTGGGCTCAAGGTCAATTACAAGGTCAATTAAATTACTCTTCTATTAATACTTCTAGGGGTGGCATTAGTCAATAACCTAAAAATTTGACTGACCAAAATAAAACAAAATAAAAGGAGATTCATGACCAATAAGAAAGATGTACGAGGACCCGTAATTTTGGAATGTACCAGTTGTTTACAAACCGGTGGTAATAAAATTAAAATATCAATAGGTATTTCTAGATATATTACTCAAAAGAACCGGCACAATACACCCAATCGATTAGAATTGAAAAAATTCTGTCGCCGTTGTTACAAACATACGATTCATGTAGAAATTAAAAAATAAATAGGTATTTTAAAAAGTAGTGGGAAAATAAAACAACATTTTTAGTCTGAATTGACAAGGAAACTAATTCTAATTCAAAACAAATTCTATTCGTATATTTCAGTAGACGGAATAAACAAATTATGGATAAACCCAAGCGACCCTTTATGAAATCTAAGCGATCTTTTCGTAGGCGTTTGCCCCCGATTAAATCGGGGGATCGAATTGATTATAGAAACATTAGCTTAATTAGTCGATTTATTAGTGAACAAGGAAAAATATTATCGAAACGCGTGAATAAATTGACCTTAAAACAACAACGATTAATTACTCTTGCGATTAAACAAGCTCGAATTTTATCTTTGTTACCCTTTATGAAAAGGAAAGGATCTGAAAGAGGGGAGTCGACCAAGCGAACTAGTAAAGCTAGAAATCAAAATAAACAAAAGAAATATCAAAGTAATCGAAATAAATCACTAAATAAAAATAAATAAATAGACTTATTGGACTTGATTGAGAATTGCAATCAGTTCTAACAGAACTAAAATGGGAATTAGTGTTTTGCTCTAAAAAGACGCGAATCTAGATTTAAGTTCTTTATTTATCATTTTTTATAATAAATAAGAAAAAACTGTCCGGAGTTCATTCTCCGGGAACTCTTTTTGAATTCTTCCAGTATCTACTTTATGTTTAGAATCTCGTTTGAAATCATATAAAACGCATTTCCTATTTAATATTGCGATTTGGGCAAGTATTTTACGGTTAAGAAGTAATTGGTTATGGTACAAATCATGTATGAATTTACTATAACTATAGGATACTCCTTTTTCACGACTTACTGCATTTAGTCGAGTGATCCACAAACGACGAAAATCTCTCTTTTGTATATCCCTATCCCGAGTAGCTGAAACAAATGCTCTGATTGCCTGTTGATTAATAGTTCGAATAAGTGTTGAATGAGCCCCTCGAAAACGTGATGTAAAAAAACGTATTTTTGTTCGACGTTTCCGAGCTATAGAGCCCCTTTTAATTCTGGTCATTGAGTATTTCTTTGTTTTGGTGATTGTCTTATTCGTTCGTCTATTTTATTTACTACTAGGATTTATTAATATTATTCTTTATTAATTTATTAATTGTCTTCTGTAATATTGATATGGTATATTAGATATATATATGTTCTTATATACATTATTATTATATCTTTAATATGTTTATTAATTAATTATATTATATGTGTATTATATTATTATATCTTTGTGTTTATATATTTTACATATATTTATTCTGTAATGTTTATATAATATTGTATATTCTTCCTTATTTACGAAAATTATTTATGAAAAAAGGTATGGAAACGGATTTTTCCAATGTATAAAATAAAAATCCCAATGGCTTTTGCGACTATAACCTTCCCAACCACAATTTTTATTTTATTATTTAGTTATTTGACTACCAAACAAAAATAAGAAAGACATAAGAAAGTTTCAATTTCTATGTATCGATAAATAGAGTTAATAAAAAAAAATAGAACTCGATAAATAAATAGTGGGATTCCTTCGTTTCTATGGTTTCTTCTGAAACGGTGAGGTCTTTTCTATACACCGGAGCCCTTCACTAAATTGAATAAATTTTATTTATTGTGAACTTGTATAGTTTACATTATTGAGGCTCTACCCATTCATTATTCAATAAAGTAATAGATCTTTCACAACCCGATCTAATTATAAAGTAACGGTATTTAAGTAGGAAAGTTAGCTAAGTTAGCTTACCTTTTTAGTCCGTTCTTGCAAGATTGGGTCCTCATTTTTTTTTTAGGATTTTCTCCGCTTAATGGATAACCTTTTGCTACCAAAGGAGAATTGCTTCTCTACTGAAATTAAGGTAATTGGATTTGCACCAAAGGAAACCATAAACTTTGTACCCAAAAAGGGAATTTATATAGTTTTTGAAAGAAGGAATGAAGTTCCTTCATCCATATATATCCCTTTATACTGTCGAATTACTTTTCATTTTTGGGTATCAACTTATAATATAAACGAGTCGCACATACACCCTAGTACATGTTCCTCGACGCTGAGGACATCCCCGAAGAGCGGGAGATTTCGTGATATTTCTTATTGGCTGTCTTTTATTTCTAATAAGTTGTTTAATAGTTGGCATCTTTAATCTATTATATTACATAATGGGCTGGTTTAGATTAATCCGAACCGACTTATGCTGAATTCGTTTTATTTCCATTGAAGAAAATATCTAATCACCCGGAAGATTCAATACACCAGCAGACTTCTTAGTTTTAGTGAAATCCATATTGAATGAAAAACCTCTATAGGACTAACCCTGAGCCCCAAGAGAAACCCCCTACAGCATCAACAAGCCCATAAGATTTGGCTTCTGTTGGTGATAAAAAAACGTCTCTTTCCATGTCTTGGATTATTACCCACTTAGGTTGGCCGGTTCTTTGCGCATAAACCTCTACGAGGCTTTCGCGCATTTTCAACAACTCTCCCGCTTCTGAGACCGCTTCAACTGTTTGATTCTCAAAAAAAGAACTAAATAGGTTGATGGATCATTACCCTGATAATATATAATATAAAAAAAGATAATATATTAATTAATCTAGAAGATTAACATAGAATATAAATAGAATGTAACATATATAATATAAATAGAATGTAAAAGGAGTTACTTCACGTCGTAAAAAAAAATAAACGCAATAAAATAGAACAACCGTACAGGCATCTTTTTTTTTTTGCATACGGCTAATAATATGGTCCTCCTTCTCTGCTTCTAAAATAAATAGTCAAATAGAACTATCATAATCATAATGAGGGATAAGTTAGTATAACTAAATGATCAAATTGCCATCCTTTCTTTTAGACAAGTTTAAAATAGACAAGTTTAAAATTATTATGATGGCCCCGTTGCTTTCTCTAGAAATATCTATAATCTATATATCTAGATTGTCTTTTCTTTATTGTCTTTAGCAATCCCAAAGTTTCTTTTTTGATCGGATCAAATACGGAAAAATGAAAAATCGTGTATGTGTAGACCTGGTATGAAAATAAAAAAGGGTTTGTGACGCTGAACTGGCCTCTCCTAATATTACCCAAATATTATAGAATTTAGTAAAGACGTTTTAGTCCATACTACTCGCTCGATATATAATCGAAGGTTTGAAAACCAAATAAAAAAATTTTAATACCGAATTGAAAGTGCCATGCTATTTTTACTTATTATAATATAGATATTCTTATATCATATAACGAAGGCATAGTTATCCTCTTTTTTATTTTTTATCAAAAAACCTCATTGGCGCCAAGCGTGAGGGAATGCTAGACGTTTTGTAATTGTTCCCCCAACTAACAGAAAAGATCCCATAGACGCGGCTAATCCTAGGCATATTGTCTGGGTATCTGGTCGCACAAATTGCATAGTATCATAAATAGCCAATCCCGATATTATTCCTCCACCAGGAGAGTTTATAAACAAAAAAATATCCTTGGTACTATCCAGTATACCAAGATATACAAACAGACCTACAAGTTGATTCGAGATCTGACTATCAATCCCCTGAGCTAAAAAAAGGCATCGTTCGCGATAAAGTCGGTTGTTTAGGGGAATTTCTTTCCCTTATGAACCGTACATGTGCCTTTTGACACATACGGTTCAAAAAACTTACGAATAAAGAATCAATGTATAGAAGGAAGCCCCTTAAATTTTTTTTTTATAACAGGTTCTCTCGAACATCTAGCGAAAATTTCGTCTGTATAATAAAAAGGGGAAAGGGCAACTCAACCTATTGAGTCAACTTTTATTTGATGTATTGTTTCATCGAGTTTCAATTCAAATTACGATGGCATTTTCTTGTTCCTGCATGAATTTATTTTTTTTTAGGTTTCTGCTCTCCTCCGGGTAAGTATTCGCCCAATTCATATTTGTATATATAGAACAAATATGCTCTGATTGCTTTTTGTGTTTTTTTTTTTTTCTCTTCAATTCATTTTAGACCTTATCTTATACCAAGTTTTTTCAAGTTTTAGATACGCGAAGAAGAGTATATCTATATTTACTTTTTCAAAGTATAGGAATCAGTTGTGATACAATTGAAAATCGTCGATATCTTACCGATGTTCTTTTTCTTAAACGGAGCCTGAATACTTCATTTTTTGAGTCCAACCAAGCCAACCATACTAAGGACTAGTATTAAAATTCCCCCAAAAGGTTATCCTTGTCACTTCACGCTCCAAATTTTGGACCATTCCGGTCGTTTATCTAGGTGAAACGGGGTCTATCTCTATCGGGGGAGATACTGGGGAAATCCCAACTTACTCAATATATCTTACAAGTCACACTATATATCAATCCACACTGCACTTTTATCTTCGTGATATTGGAAACGTACTCTTGGAACACCAATGGGCATAAAAAAAAAGATTTTCTATTTTCAAATTCACTTTGATAAGGAAACGTAAAACTAAAAAAACAACTAGATATCTATATCAAAAGAGATAGAGTATTCTAATCTAAAAATACGTAAATTTCAAATTAGAATACAAAATAAAGCAGAATAACTTTAATAAATGTAACTTGGTTCGTTGATATATGCAATAAAGGTATATGTTGCAGATTCATACTTATCGAGTATAGAATAAATCTGCTTGTCTTTAGAAAATGGATGCTCTATTCTGAAAAAATACGTTTAAAAATAGCAATGTGGGGGTCCCTAGGATGAGTAATAGCCTTGTATTTTTCTGTTTTTACAATGCAAGAAAGTTACGCAGTGTCTATTTATCTTTGATGAAAGGGGTATTTCCATGGGTTTGCCTTGGTATCGTGTTCATACTGTTGTATTGAATGATCCTGGTCGGTTGCTTTCGGTTCATATTATGCATACAGCTTTGGTTGCGGGGTGGGCTGGTTCCATGGCTATGTATGAATTAGCGGTTTTTGATCCTTCCGACCCGGTTCTTGATCCAATGTGGAGACAAGGTATGTTTGTAATACCCTTTATGACTCGGTTAGGAATAACTAATTCCTGGAGGGGTTGGGATATTACAGGAGGGACTGTAACGACTCCCGGTCTTTGGAGTTACGAAGGTGTAGCTGGCGCACATATTTTGTTTTCTGGGTTATGTTTTTTGGCAGCTATCTGGCATTGGGTGTATTGGGATCTAGAAGTCTTTTGTGATGAACGGACTAGAAAACCCTCTTTGGATTTACCTAAGATCTTTGGAATTCATTTATTTCTTGCGGGGGTTACTTGCTTTGGCTTTGGTGCATTCCATGTAACGGGTTTGTATGGTCCCGGAATTTGGGTATCCGATCCTTATGGCCTAACAGGAAAAGTAGAACCTGTTAATCCTGCCTGGGGTGTGGAAGGCTTTGATCCTTTTGTTCCAGGAGGAATAGCCTCTCATCATATTGCAGCTGGAACACTGGGCATTTTAGCGGGTTTATTCCATCTTAGTGTCCGTCCGCCTCAACGGCTATACAAGGGATTACGTATGGGAAATATAGAAACCGTCCTTTCAAGTAGTATTGCTGCTGTCTTTTTTGCAGCTTTTGTAGCTGCTGGAACTATGTGGTATGGTTCGGCGACTACCCCAATTGAATTATTTGGCCCCACCCGTTATCAATGGGACCAAGGTTATTTCCAACAAGAGATATATCGAAGAGTTAGTACGGGACTAGCAGAAAATCAAAGTTTATCAGAAGCCTGGTCGAAAATTCCGGAAAAATTAGCTTTTTATGATTATATCGGTAATAATCCAGCAAAGGGAGGATTATTCAGAGCAGGTTCGATGGATAACGGGGATGGAATAGCAGTTGGATGGTTAGGCCACCCTGTCTTTAGAGATAAAGAAGGGCGTGAACTTTTTGTACGCCGTATGCCTACTTTTTTTGAAACATTTCCAGTTATTCTAGTAGACAGTGATGGAATTGTTAGAGCCGATGTTCCGTTTAGAAGGGCAGAATCGAAGTATAGTGTTGAACAAGTAGGAGTCACTGTTGCGTTCTACGGTGGTGAACTCAATGAAGTAAGTTTTAATGATCCGGCTACTGTGAAAAAATATGCTAGACGCGCTCAATTCGGTGAAATTTTTGAATTAGATCGTGCTACTTTGAAATCTGATGGGGTTTTTCGGAGTAGTCCAAGAGGTTGGTTTACTTTTGGGCACGCTTCATTTGCATTGCTCTTCTTTTTCGGACACATTTGGCATGGTGCTAGAACCCTTTTCAGAGATGTTTTTGCTGGGATTGACCCAGATTTAGATGTGCAAGTAGAGTTTGGAGTATTCCAAAAACTGGGAGATCCAACGACAAGACGACAAGCTGTCTGATATATCATTTATCCTATTATTTTGATATCTGTCTTTCGTTCTTTCTTTATCCGAAGCGAAGTAAGATATAGGGTAAGATATAGGATAAAAAAAACAAAAATAGGTAGGAAAGCTATAATTGGAAACTACGATGTAATTTATGGAAGCATTGGTTTATACATTCCTCTTAGTCTCGACTCTAGGAATAATATTTTTCGCTATCTTTTTTCGAGAACCCCCTAAAGTACCAATGAAAAAGATCAAATAATTTTTCGCTATAGTAACTTGAAGTAATAAGCCCTCCACCGTGGGGAGGCTTATTACTTCAACTAATCTCCATGTTCTTCAAATGGATCTCTTAGCTGTTGAGAAGGTTGTCCAAAAGCGGTATAGAAGGCATACCCAGTAAAACTAAAAAGTAAACCGGATATAAATATCGTCACTAGGATTGCTGTTTCCATTTTTTTATTAGTATATAATTAAAATACTCCAAAGGATCTATGCTAAGATCATTTCTTTATAACGCAATGGTATACAAAGTTAACAGATCTCTCATAAATAAAATTGAATAAAAGAGGATTTATGGCTACAAAAACTAGTGAGAAAGGTTCTCAATATCGTCCAAGACAAACTACTATCGGTAATTTATTAAAACCATTGAATTCAGAATACGGTAAAGTAGCTCCGGGTGGGGAACAACACCTTTAATGGGTTTGGCAATGGGTTTATTCGCGATATTTCTATCTATTATTTTAGAGATTTATAATTCTTCCGTTTTATTGGATGGAATTTCAATGAATTGAAACCTAGTCCCACTTTTTTTATTCAAAGCGGCGCCCTTTTAACTAAGATTTAGAATGCATTCTATTTTATGTAATTGTGGTAGTTCGATCGTGTTATTTATTTATTTCTATCATTTCCGGAATATGAGTGTGTGACTTGTTATAAAGGATCCTATTCATAGTCCATAAAATTTGGTTATCTTACTTACCAGAGATTATTTGATTCGTCAGATATGGATTCGAGTATCTGAAACACGAGATCTATTTGAACTATGATTCAGACTTCCTATTAAGACCTCGTGCCCGGGTTCCAAAAAAATTTTGAAACCAAGAAGGTTTGATTATTTAAAACCTTCTGGATGACCAAAATAAAAATTCCATCTATTTAGTATGGTTAAAGTTAATTTAAAAAGGTTCTTACTCAGGGAATCCTTGATTACGTTTCAATTTTTTTAATCGTGGTTCTAAATAGGAATCTTAGGTTTTTTTCGATTTATAGGGTCTTAACAAGGTAATTCCTATCCAATCAAATAAACAAAACAAATAAAAAAAGAATCATTCCATAAAAAAAAAGATAGGTAAAGAGAAGCTTCAAAAAGCCCGTCAAAATAAAAATAAAGACAACTGAGCTAACTTGATATGTTTGTATTAGTGCCAAAAAAATCAATAAGAAATAATAGATTTCGCATTTTATTGAATATAATCTATGTGTTGGTCTGGCCGGCGCAATGAGTATTTGGACATTTTTGGTTGAGCTGTACGAGATGAAAGTCTCATATACGGTTCTCAGGGGGGGGAAATTACCCTATCTCAATAAAGTCTATGATTGGTTCGAAGAACGTCTGGAGATTCAGGCGATTGCAGATGATATAACTAGTAAATATGTTCCTCCACATGTCAATATTTTTTATTGTTTAGGGGGAATTACGCTTACGTGTTTTTTAGTACAAGTAGCTACCGGGTTTGCTATGACTTTTTACTATCGTCCGACCCTTACAGAGGCGTTTGCTTCTGTTCAATACATAATGACTGAAGCGAACTTTGGTTGGTTAATCCGATCGGTTCATCGATGGTCAGCAAGTATGATGGTATTGATGATGATTCTGCATGTATTTCGTGTGTATCTGACAGGTGGGTTTAAAAAACCTCGTGAATTGACTTGGGTTACAGGTGTAATTTTAGCTGTATTGACAACATCTTTTGGCGTAACCGGTTATTCGTTACCTCGGGACCAAATAGGTTATTGGGCAGTGAAAATTGTAAACAGGTGTACCCGAAGCTATTCCTGTAATAGGATCACCTTTGGTAGAATTTTTACGAGGAAGCGCTAGTGTGGGGCAATCCACCTTGACTCGTTTTTATAGTTTACACACTTTTGTCTTGCCTCTTATTACTGCCGTATTTATGTTAATGCACTTTTCAATGATACGTAAACAGGGTATTTCTGGTCCTTTATAAATCAAAATAGAAATAAAAAGAGATCCTAAATAAAAAAAATTTGTAAGATATGTTATTTCTCACTTGGAGGAGGGGTAATAGTATTTCATTGCTAAAAAAAATCCATTCTTTAAAAGAATAAGAAATGGTTTTTTATATTTATCTTCACCCTTCCTATATTCTTTTTTTTTTACATGAATACACAAATAGGCGAGGGGAATTCTTTGAAGTTGAAGATCAATTTTACGATAAAATGGATTATGGGAGTGTGCGACCTGAACTATTGATTGGTCCATGTAGATATAAGCCTACCACATTTGAATTATCACCACCCAAATGTGTCTTTGTTCCAATTGGCGCATAAGCCTTATGTGAGGGATAAGC